CCCGGCCAAACATTTATCATTTCTTTGTGTTGGGAACATTCCACATCTTCTAGGTATTTTATTTTTATTTTTACTCACCACTATACTAATGAGGATTCTAGCTATTTTTGAAATATTCAATAAATTATTAACTATAGTCACCCTACTGTGCTATCAAACACCAGAACTCATTCCTCCCATCTAACTGTTTGTACCCATGAACCAACTGCTCTTCACCCAGCCTCCCCCCGCCCTCCCCAGCCTGTGGTAACCACCGTTCTACTCTCTGCCTCCAAGAGATCCGCTTTGTTTAATTTTTTTTTTTTTTTAAGAGACGGGGTCTCGCTCTTTGTCAGGCAGGTCTCGAACTCCTGAGCTCAAGCAGTCCTCCCGCCTCGGCCTCCCAGAGTGCTAGCATTACAGGCGTGAGCCACCGCGCCCGGCCCCCATGAAATCCATTTTGGTAGCTCCGTTTCTGGGTCTCTTGCTTATCTGGGGTGTTGGGGAAGAGTTCAGATGGGGCTTTGGGGACAACATCTCTCCCTTAACTGGTGCTGCCAGGTGCCTCTAGGATGTCAATACTCCCATCCCACAGACACCCAAATGCTTCCGTTCTCATGGGAATCGTATGTGAGTTTTTTGGGGAGGTGTCTGTGCTGCCCAGTGCCCGGATGTCGAATAATTAATCTGAATTAACTTCCTGGCATGAGTCCTCCCCAGCGCTCACCATAACCTACTCCTGACCCTTTCGTACCTGTGACATGGATGTGTTTATGTCACCAAACTGGTTTTCTCTTCCTTTGCCAGTCCCGAATTGTCTTGCACTTCCTTTTGGAAGCTGGCATCTGTTGCCTGGGAGCCTCTGCCAAACTAAAACTAAAGTCTTTCTGTTTAAAATCCCAGCCCTGGAGCTGGACAGAGTGGTTCATGCCTGTAGTCCCAGCTGCTTGGGAGGCTGAGGCAGGAGGATCCTGAACTCCTTGAGACCAGGGGTTGAAGGCCAGCCTGGGCAACATAATGAGACCCCATCTCTGAAAAAATAAATAAATAAGATAAATAAAATAAAATCTCAGCTCTGATAGTACTTCTTTCAAAAGACCTCTGTGAGGAATAAACGATAAAGCATAAAGCCCTTAGCAAGTTGCTCAGCTCATAATCAGTCCTCGCCGGGCACGGTGGCTCACACGGGTAATTGTAGCACTCTGGGAGGCCGAGGTGGGAGGACGGCTTGAGGTTAGGAGTTCGAGACCAGCCTGAGCAAGAGCAAGATCCCGTCTCTACTAAAAACAGAAGAAAAAAAAATTAGCCGGGTATGCTGGCATGCACCCAGCTACTCAGGACACTGAGGCAGGAGAAGCACTTGAGCCCAGGAGTTTGAGGTTGCAGTGAGCTGGGATGACGCCACTGCACTCTACCCAGGGCGACAGAGCAAGACTCTGTCTCAAAAAGCAAAACATAGTCGGTCCTCAATAAATGCTATTCTTATTTTTATTGTAACAGCAGAGAATCTAGGAAAGAGACACAATCGGAGACAAAATAGAAATCGGAGAATCAGATGGCGCACTGCTGGTGCAGGTGGCTGCCTAACTCATACTGGCTTCTACAAATAAAAGGGGCGTTTACTGACGTGTGTGACTGACAGACTCGCAGGGGTTCAGGCGAGACTCACCCGGTTGTCCGGGTCCCTGATTTCCGTTACCTTCCATACTTGCGGATATGTTGGCTCCTTTATGGGACGGGCTCCCCCAGCTTGGGAGCAAATGCCTGCATTTTACTCTTTCCACATCCAAGCCCTGAAAGAAAAAGCTCCAGGAAAAGTATGGTTTTGGAGTCAAGGGCGTTGGGGGGATCTTGCACCCATCTGGACCCATTCATGGTGGCTGGGGACGTGGAAACCAAGAGACTTCGGCCTAGAGCCGTGTCTGTCTCTAGAGCTTTTTTTTTTTTTTTTTTTTGAGACAGAGTCTCACTGTGTTGCCCGGGCTAGAGTGCCGTGGTGTCAGCCTAGCTCACAGCAACCTCACACTCCTGGGCTCAGGCGATCCTTCTGCCTCAGCCTCCCAAGTAGCTGGGACTACAGGCATGCGCCACCATGCCTGGCTAATTTTTTCTATATATTTTTAGTTGTCCGATTAATTTCTTTCTATTTTTAGTAGAGACGGGGTCTCGCTCTTGCTCAGGCTGGTTTCGAACTCCTGAGCTCAAACAATCCGCCCGCCTCAGCCTCCCAGAGAGCCAGGATTACAGGCGTGAGCCACCGCGCCCGGCTGTCTCTAAGAGCTTAAGGACAAGTTGACCCCGGATGGACTGAGACTGGGTTTCGATGGGAAGTTGGGGCAGAATAACCCGGAGGGAAGTGGATCGTGGGCCTCAGAATCCACGGGTGCCCCTTCTGGGTGGGACTGTGACTTTAGGAGCACCCTTAAATGCCTTTCCGAAATGCTTGCCATCCCCACATCGGCCTTAGCCTGGGCTGGTCCTGGACGACTCTGCTTTCTCTTAAATCGGTCTCCTGAAATCCGCAGCCCATTCCCTCTGAAGATGAGGCTCTGGCAGAGCAGTGCCTGACGTCGCTCCTTTGTCTTCCACAGGCTGGACAGCTGCAGCCTCACGGCTAAGGCTGGCAAGGACCTTTCTTCCATCCTGGGCACCAACCAGACCTTGACTGAGCTTTACCTGACCAACAACGCCCTGGGGGACACAGGTGTCCGGCTGCTATGCAAGCGGCTGAGCCATCCCGGCTGCCAGCTCCGAGTCCTCTGGTGAGAGACGATTCCTGGTTCTCTCTGGAGGAGGCAGGACGGTTGGGAGCCTAGGGGTGAATAGTTGAGACTCACAGCTTCGGTGGACAAATCATCTAGGAAACTTGGAGATACTTCATTCATCCACTCACGTATGCAACCGTGCAGGATACACGAGGCCTTAGCTTACCGCACCTCTTGGAGACATCTATACCATCTGCTGGCTGTGCGACCTTGGAGAGTTTACTGATATTTATGTCCTAATCTGTCAAATGGGGCCATTGTAGTTTAGTGAGGACCTGGAATTACTCTGCCTAGGTTCTAATTCTAATCCTTTCTAATCCACATCAACTTGGTGACGAATCCTATCTAATCCATACCAACCTGGTGACTATCTAATCCTATCGAATCCATACCAACTTGGTGACTTACTTTTGCAAGTTATTCAACCTCTTATTTCACCTTAGCATCCCTGTCTGTAAAATGAAGAAGAGTTGCTTCTTCATAAGATTACAGATTTATCAGTTAACACGGTTTACAGACTTAAAATTGGGCGTAGTATAGAGTGAGCCTGTTTCCCAGATGGGTTGGGGTGAAGTGTTGGAAGATAACGGAATTATTTTATCGGAGAAAGACGCACCGTAGGTAACTTAAGATTTATTAATTGGACGCCACAACAGCGGACTGGAATAACGTTTCCCACTCTCTTGTCCCCAGGTTATTTGGAATGGACCTGAACGAAACGACGCACAGTAGGTTGGCAGCGCTCCGAGGAACAAAACCTTACTTGGACATTGGCTGCTGAGCGGCCCTGCCTGCCGGTTCCTCTCTCCAAGTCCGGACCGGGGAAGATGGGGTCGTCGTCACCGAACGACAGAAGGACCAGGCTGCTCGTTTCCCCAGGAGACAGATTCGTATGCAGATTGAGACCAAAGGTGCCTCGTGCTGGGGGTCTGAGGGACCCCCGTGTGCAGCTTTAGCTGTGAGGACGTGGCTGCACACAGAGCGCCCCGGGCGGGGCGTGACCGACTGGGAGAGGCTTGAAGGCCCCTAGGAGGAGACGCAAAAGCCAAGATGACTACAAAGTGAGGGTCCTCGAAGGAGGGTGATCTTGTCCTCCAAGAAACAGTTAGCGGGTCTGGAGGTATTTTTACCATGGGGTGGGCACCACTGCCATCTAGCGGTAAGGACGGGGTGCTGCTCAATGTCCCGCAAGGCACAGGACAGATCGCCAAAGCATCTGACCCCAAACGCCAACTGTGCCCAAATCAAACCCTTTCCTCAAAAAGGTTAATGGTGGGAGGTACTAGGGGGACTGAGCGTTGGGAAGAGACTCCGTGCAAGCCGGACCTTAGGATGCTCGCGATGCCAGCAGCCCTGGCTAGAATCAGGCTGGGGGACGGTGCGGGAAACCCCGCCGTGTGCCGCGACTGCGCCCGCCTGGAGCTCGCCAGACACAGCTGCTCCTGAAGCCGGCTGCCCCCCCCCCAGCGCCCACCGTCCACACGGCCCGAGTCCTTTCCAGTTACCCAGTCGCTAGGGTGAGGACGCTCGGTGTGTGCGGGAGGGTGGACCTCAGGCCCACGTCGGAGTGTATCTATCTGAAAAGGCGGGTAGGCGGGCCCCGGTTTGGCAACTTTTACCGGTTCCCTTGGCACACTTTGCCCCGGTCCGGTCAACACTGTGGGGCTGGACTAGTACAGTTCCTCTTCAAATTCTGGGAGACTATTAACAAAACTCCCTTGAACCTGAGAATTTGTGTCAGGTTTAGACACTATGGGGGACGTGAGAAGTACAGTGGCCAGACACGGCTGTCAGGAGTCCTGGACAGCAATGGGGGGAGGGGGGGCCTTGAGACGTAAAGTAGCAGTTACTAAGGCGAAATCAGGAGGGAATTACCATTCACTGAGGAAAGTAGTTACATGGAGCGCAAAAAACAATATTGCTAATAACCTAATGTCTCATACTTAAGTGACTTTGGAATGATTTTTTTACAAGACACCTGACTGTGAGGCCCACCGATTCTCCATCCCTAGTGCAGCCTGTTGCTAGGCAACCGTAATTGTGCGTGGTCCCCCACTGTCAAAATCAGGCCCCTTTCAAATGCAAATCTTAATGGCCGATACTCTGGCTTACGCTTGCCACCCCTAACTGTTCTGATTTCCACTGTTGTATTCATTGAACAGGGAGGGCATTTAACTCGGCAGAAACCTGGAATTCCCTCTGCTTTGGGAAGGGCTGCCAACTTACCAAGGTGGTGCATAAATGCACCACGCCACCGTATGAAAAACAGAATGTGGCATCAACCCCCAAATCAGCCCTGTTAGCCTACCGGTTGGCAAAGTTCCCCAAAATAGCTCCCACTAAGACATCCCCCACCCCATAAACTATTTCATACCCATTTCTCCCCATCCCCGTGATTTTGTGTGTGGGGAGGTCTCATGTTGCACAGGCTGGCCTCAAGTGATCCCAGCCTCCCAAACTGCTGAAATTACAGGCATGAACGAACCACAGCACACGGCCGCCCACCCTCCATGCTCGCCCCGGAATATGCTGAAATAATGAGTAGTCAGTCCCCACGATATTGTTTTATTTTTAAAAATACTTTAGTAAGACGGGGTCTCAATTTTGTCCATGTGGTCTCCCAGGCTCAGGCGGGCCAGGCCTCCCTTCTCAGCTCCCACTGGCTGAAGGCTCAGCAGGGCGGCTGGCAGGGCAGAAGCCAAGGAACCCCAGGTCCGAGCTGCCGTGAGCAGCAGGTGGGGCCGGCAGGCTGTCGAGGAAGGACGGTTAGTGAATCCTAAATGCAGTTGCTCTCGGAAGGTAAGATGCCTTCCTCAAACGGCGAGACCCAAAACAGAAGCACTTTCCAGTCCAGACAAAGGGAAGTGCCTCCATTTTGAGTAGCACAGTCTGAGCTCAAGAATCTGCTTGGGCGGCGATTTCCTCACGCCTGAAAGGACGGCCTGCAAAAGTCCAAACACACTGAAACCAAGCAGCAACGCTGCATACATGTTACGATTGACGCAAGTTAATATACATCCTAACATACCAACACCAAAAAAATTTAGCTACCACTAGTCCTTGTTTGGGCACCAGTGTCATGGTCATGGCCGTGGCGGGTAGTTGCTCCTACCCTTCCTTCCTCCCACTAGCTAGTCCAGACTCGTGGCAGCTCAAGCTGGCCTCGGTTCTTGGCCACGTGGAGTGCCCTTGGCTCCCCTCCCTGGATTGTTCTCTACAGGACGTAGTCCCTAAATGCTGCTAGAAGCGCACACTGCAGTTTAATACCTAGCACAAAAGCCTGGTTATAACTGCCGTTTGCAGTTGACGCCCACCGATGACACCCAAATGTTGAAGCACTTTCCACCTGGATTCCAGAAGAGTGCTCCCACATTTGAGTATCACGGGATGAGCAGTTCCACCTGGAGATCTCTGCACAGGAAACACTGCAACCACACCTACACCCCATCCCTGAGATCTACGGAGTGCAGTGGCGCCATCAGAGCTCACTGCAACCTCCAACTCCTGGGCTCATGGGATCCTCCTGCCTCAGCCTCCTGAGAAGCTGGGACTACAGGCGCGCACCACAACCCCCGGCTAATCTTTGCTATTTTTGGTAGAGATGGGGTCTCACTCTTGCTCGGGCTGGTCCTGAACTTCTGGGCTCAAGTGATCCTCCCGCCCTGGGCGTCCCAAAGTGCCAGGATTACAGGAATGAGCCACTGCTCCCAGCCGGAGGTTGACCTACTTTCTAATTGCCAAGGACCCTTCTATCTACTATAGCAAAATGGGAACTAGATGGCTTTCCCGGCCGAGCTTTCTCAATCGGTAACACTCAAAAAGTAGCGGCACTTTCGTCATATAACAGAAAGTGCCCCCACAGTTTGAGTGCCACAGGTCGAGAGGACCCACGAGGAAAGCCACAGGAGTTAGTACTTACCCATCACGCACAGCACTTTTGGATAAGGGCCAGTGAATAACCTTGACTCATCTGAAAGACATGTAAAGTTGAGGAAATTGAGGAAAATCACAGAGACATGGCGACAACTCAGCACTTAAACAGTGCGCCCTGTCACTTTAAAGTCCACCCACGTGCCGCAAGTCAGAGATTGAAAATTTGCCAGGCCTGTGATCCCAGCACTCTGGGAGGCCGAGGCGGGAGGATCGCTGGAGCTCAGGAGTTCGAGACCAGCCTGAGCAAGAGCGAGGCCCCATCTCTACCAAAAATGGAAACACTTAGCTGGTCCTGGTGGCGCATGCCTGTAGTCCCAGCCACGTGGGAGGCTGAGGCAGGAGGATCGCTTGAGCCCAGGAGTTTGAGGTTGCTGTGAACGAGGCTGACGCCACGGCACTCTAGCCCAGTGACCAGGTGAAATTGTCTCGAAGGTAAAAAAGAAAAAATTTGCCAGATTCCAAGCGTTCGTCTGGGACCCCTCAAAGAAAAATACACAAAAAATGCAAGGGGTCTCCACGCTCAGATATGCATGGATCTAAGGCCGCCTTGCCCCTCACCTGGTTTCCAGATCCGAGCAATAAGTGGACTGAGTATATTGCGAGAAAAGGCAACACTGAAGGAACAGGTACTGGGAGAAGGGGGCCTCTGAGTCCTACAAGAAACCACAAAAAAGTAGAAAGCAAGTAAAGGTACAAAGAGTAAAACCGCAGCGAATACTTACAGAGCCCAAAGGCAGAAGCCGGCCAACTCTTCCCAAGAAGTAAGAGCTTGGGGCTGCCGGGCCCTTATATAGGCTGAGGGCGCACTCACCGCAGACTGGGACGGGACTGAAGACCACCCCCTCCCACCGCCCCATTCCACGTGGCCTCCAGCCAGACCCACCCAGATTCCTTCCATCTTACCTAGCCTTAGTCCGACACACCTTCATATAATTTTTTAAACATTGACTCCTGTATTGCTAATGTCACCAGAATATACTGATTGTAAATAACTTGGAAAATCCAGAGAAATAGAATAATGCCATCACCTGGGGGTTCAGTCATTCATTCAACAATTTTTTTTTTTTTTAGATGGCTCTTCCTATGTTGCTCAGGCTGATCTCGAACTCCTGGCTGCAAGCTATCCTCCCGCCTCAGCTTCCGAGTAGCTGAAGCACAGGCGCTTGCCACCATGCCCAGCCTGAACAAATATTAAAATATAATATTTTATTTATTATATTTATGGAGCAAATAAGACCACTTTGCTAGTTCTTGGGCTTAGAGGGGGTGAATAAAAACAAGGATTTTATAGTCTAGAAGAGTGATTTACAATTGGGGGTGATTTTTCTCTTCTAGGGGTTATTTGACAACGTCTGGAGACATTTTTGGTCACAGCTGGGGTCAGGGACGTGAAATGCTGACAGCATTTAGTGAACACAGGCCAGGGATGTTGCTAAATATCCCGCAATGCACAAGACAGCCCCGAACAATACACCATTTTCCAGCCACAAATTTTAATGGCGTGGAAGCTGAGAGGGAGGGAGAGAGGGAGGAAGAAAAAAACCCAATTGCTATTCCTATTGCTCCACAATCTCTCTGCCCATTCATAAAAACATTTACTTTGGGAACACACTTCAGTGCTCTTTAAAAGCCAGAAAAGTATTTAAAATGCATTTTCATGGCTGAATGGCAATCTGGAGTATGCTTCTACCATAAATTAATTAGCCCCTACTGTTGGCTGTTTTCAACTTTTCGGAGTTTAGATTAATCTGTTTCTAGTGCCGCACTGAACATTTTTGAGAGCAGCTTTGATAAAAGAGTGGAAATGTACCTAACGGAGTCCTCATAAAATGCCTACAGGTTGCCTTTGACCACGAGGCATAGAAAGGAATTAAAAATGGGGTGCAGGGCGTGGGCGGGAGGGAGAGTTGGAAAATGGAAGTGCTCAAAGTATTGAATGACTGCAGGAAGCGGAAACGCTTGCAGCCCTGGGGCGGGGGCCTGGTGCCCTTCACCTTTGTCATCCTAACTAGCTGTGGGGGTTGCATTCTACCTTTCTGGTTAAACCTAGTTCCTTCATCCATGAAAAAGAAACAGACAGCATTTAAGGCGAGACTGCAGATCCCACACGCTGCTGGCTTAGCTGCAGGGCCCAGCTAGCTACTCGGGAGGCCAAAGCAGGAGGATTGCTGGAGCCCCGGCATTCGAGGCCAGCCTGAGCAACATAACAGAGACTCAGTGTCAAAAACAACGAAAAGATATCAACAATAAATTAGACAGCAAATGGGTGTTTGGCAAAGAATGTGCGTCCACCTAATATCGCTTTGCTTCCCTGGTGTAGGTCGGAGACCACAAGGATGATAGTGGGCAGACAGTCCTCCTTGCAGCCAGCATTCCTGAGTTACGTGCCCTGTGTCAGGCACCCGCCTCCCAAAGGCTGCTGCTGCCCGATTCCTGTGCT